ATTTATAAACATTAAAGACTCAAACTATCGAATTTTAAAAAAATTGAACGTCGGTCGTGCTGAGTTTTGAGATTTAAGAAGCTAATGACAAGATTGATAATGCTTTAGAGCAAGACATTTGGCAATAGCATACAGTCATATCTATGCACGATTTTTGTATTTACAGTTATGATTCAAACCTGTGATGGATTAGTGTTATGAAAAATCACAAGAAAAGGATTGATTTTCAGAAAAAAAAATCATCTACCACGATGGCAAACAGGTCTCATGTTGTAAAGAGAAAATTGGTCGAATTAAAGTATAACTGCATGAAACGTCTACCCTATTCAGAAGATTTGGCTTCTCCTGACTTCTGTCAGTTACTAAATTTACAAAAATTTCGAAGTGGAAAGCGTTTTTCTCTAAACAAAGAAATTACTACCATCCTAGATTGGTATTTTGTCCTTCCGGACAATAACTTCGGGGATATGACACATAAATTAACAATTTCTGAAAAAGTTTGTTGAACTTAAGGCAGATTATATTGAAGAATAAAGTCATTTTAGGAACCACAAGTTTATTCCATAACTTTCGTACCTCGAACATTTCTGCTCAAGAAAATTGAGATAATTGACTTGATTGTAAAAGCACTGAATGTAAAAAATATTATAACTGAATGAAAGAAGAGATAAATGAAAATGAACGTAGGACAAAAAACTCAATATAGAAAAGAAAGAAGAATTAAATTAAATATTTCTAGCTTGTAAATCAAATTGGTAGCGAATGAGAATTAAAATAGAATAAAGAATAAGCTAAAAGAAGTAAGAAGAAGACGACTAACGATGTACATACTCCAATTTTTTGTTAAACATTTTCTGTAAAAACTTTCCTGTTGTTTCCTTTTATAGTTATACATTTAGTTTATACGAAAAATGACATAATAAAAAAATAAAGTAAACTGACTTCCACCAATAACTCACTGTAGGAGGGGCTGAAAACGTTGATGTCAATTGGGGACGATCACTTCTTCTATCTACAGGCATAGACGCCTGTCTGTGCAACATAATGCTATGACGAGATTCTCTCATCGTATGTGTCCGAGTCAGGAGTGCTTTATTGATATCTTCTTTAACAATTGTGGTTAAAAGCTAAATAAAACCAAGGAAAATGAAGGATTTTATTTCAAAGCATATATATTGAAAGAAAAACTTTAAAACTAAATAAAATCATACTATTCAATAAATTAAATTTTAACTAGGTCTCCTTTATTTTCTTGGATAGGGGGTCAATATTAAAAAAATACGGAGACAATTTTTAGTTGCTTTATTCAAGCACAACTGATCCAATTTGAGTTCAATCCACAGAAATTAAAATAAATAAAATTTAAATTCACCAAATTTTATTTTAATTTTAAACAAAAACTAAATACAATCAGTCATTTACAGAGCTGGGGTACATCATTTTCCAGCAAAATTTTATGTTTCACATGTAATGAGTTGTTACTGTTGTTCATATATTTTTATCGTTGCAGCTTGTACAAACCTACGAAGGACTTTAAAAATCGTACAATCGACACGCCCACTTGATTCGCAGTCAAATTACCGGAAAGAATCTTAGTAAGGGAAGTAAGCTCAAGCTCGCGAGTCTCGGCGTTCGTCCATTTCTTTCTTCCCGAATACTTTCTTTACTCTCTGCTATCTGCATAAAATTTCGAAAGTCGTTCCTAGCCTTGACAAATAATATATTGACACTGATTCTTTTTGGGAAGATAGCATGTGGCATAAGACAAATTAGATTGTTGGGCCTTTTTTGAAAATAAATTTGATATCTTTGTACTAAACCATATAGAAAAATGGTGTCTACAAGAGAACCTCCCTATCTACTTTAAGAGAAAGCTGGTTGCCTACATAGATAAAAGGAAACTAGGAATCATTTATAGATGAGCTAAGGTTATTCGAAAAAAGTCAGTTAGAATTTGAGGGGCCAAATATCTGGTTGTATGCTTGAATTCTAAGCTCATTTAAAATAAACATATCAATAATATAGAGCCACCGAAAAAAACCTAATTAGAATAATATGTGAATAAAACTAAGGTGGGTTGAGATTTTATCTATTTTCACAGACGGACATATACATAACCCAACTTATTGTTTAAAATCTGCAATAATACCGTCCGTTTATAAATGTTTATATTGATAACGATAATGATATAAATGTCCCGTACTGAGATTTATGATGTTCAAAACGTATGAAATGTCAACGGTTGAAATTTAAGTGTAACCTGGGAGTTAACAAAAACGGTGATCTTTTGGTTGGCGCATCAATGATATGACCAGTGGTAACATTTGGAGAAGTACGGTGGTGACGAAAAACGACAGTACAGACATATATAACCAGTTTCACTACTCTACAGGAGTCCTGAAGAGTACAGGAATGGCAACATTACTGGCTATCACTGGCTTACCTATGATTTTATCTTTCAACCATAAACTTTTGACTATACTTAAAGCAAAGAACGCATGGAGGTCCAATGAAGTGATGAATAGTCACACAAATATCATAAACAAACTAAGAGATGATGATATCCTTAAAAAACTGGAACTAGATAATACAGCGTCTCAAATGTGGCTTCCTGACCAGAAATGAGTCCAAGGGATCTACCTAACAGACTCTTTGGTAAAGGCAAGACTCTTGATGTTGCAAAAATATACTGCGGCATCATGATATATCCCGTTAAAAATGAAACTCAAATGTAGCTGGACAAAATACTAATAACCAATGGAGAACAAACTGTGCAGAAGCGAACCCATATGGGAAAGATCATAAACATTATTTACAGGAGGCGTTAGATAGGTCTAATGAATTTTAGCAAACTAGAGCTGAAGATGACTAGGCCGGGGATTGGACATTGTCAACGAAGGAAACATTTTTACAATATTGGTAGAGTGAAAGGAAAATGGTGCAGAAAATGCGACATGGAGGAATAAACCCCCATTAACATCCTTTGTGAATGTGAAATGCTTAGTGACATGATGAAGTATATATCTACCAGACTATGGATCCAGGAGAAATCTATAAACTATTCTTGAGAAAGTTGCTTGCTTTAATCTACAGTACAGGACTTTACGATGGAGTTTAATCAAAGTACACGGTATCTTCTTCTTGATCTGCCTATCCGTTACGAATGTTGGCGATCATCATGGTAGTCTTTGTCTTATCTGCAGGAGCGCGGAAAAGCTGCACAGATGTTGTATTGAAAGAGGTTCAGAGGTTCTTTAATCAAGATGTTCTTCTTCTGTCTGGACCTCGTTTTCCAAATATTTTTGGAAGGAAAAATAAGGAGGAAAATAAAAAAGAAGGAAAACAAGGTATATTACATATCAATTCCGAAAGATAGAGATCAGCATTGTTTTGTATAATCTCCGAAGAAAAAGAAAGGATGATTTTTAAAATGGTGTATTAGCTAATACTTTTAACAAGAATTCACAATTCTTAATCGAGATCTACATGACATTAAGCAACGAAATGATGCATGCTTCAATCAGATGCAGCATTTATATTCAAAACTGTTTTATGTTTCAATTATTTTAATATAATGTGAATATGAGCTCGGATCAGCGTAACGCTTCTAAAATACTTACCTAATACACCTACACTTTCTGAAATAGAATCATAACACTACAAATGCTATTCTTGTTATATAAAAACATTTAACAACAAATTATCTTTTTCATTCAACATGGATTCTCGATGCAAATAGTATCTAAATAGGATAAACGGAAACACAAACATAAAAACTAATCCAAAACCGATAAATTCAAAACAAAAACTAAATACATACTGGATTTCTTAAAACAATTTGACATCTTCGCACATATTTAGTAGATTTGTGTCCCAATTTTTTTAAAGCAAGTCTTGAAAATTTTAAATTAACTCTTTATTTACTCGTAATTTTTGGAACAAAAATCTTATAATTTGTCTCAAAAGGTGGCTCATATTTCAAGAACAATCTTAGAATCGTAACAAATAATACATAATTAAGGAATATAGGGTGTCGAAATGTAGAACGTGGTCCGGAATTATTTCTTCCTAACATTTCGTTTAGAGATTATCAAAAGTCGTGAGGCATCGGTTACAATCTTTTGTAGCTCATATTTATAGCCTTCGCTTCAGGTGACCAGAGTTCTGTAAATATAGAGCTGTTATTTCATAGCACATCCTGATACACACCCTCTTCTCTACGATTAAAGTTTTCGTGTCTCTCTCTGACTAACGACAGATCTCTCTTAGTTGTGCTATTCCAGTGCACACCAAACCACAACTACAGGAAATGCGCGAAAGTTTTATAGTGGATAAAGCGTTTTTTGGATCTTTAGCGCATCTTACACTTTCTTGTATAGTCGTCGTTGATTTGAAGATGAATTTGACGTGAAGTCAAGTTTTGTTAAGATTTGCCAATTAAATTTATCACCTTTTTAATAAGAAAGCTTTTCCTTTTGGTTCTCACTTTTGGTCGATCTTGCAGTACATCCCTATTGGACCTATAGACCGTTTGATGTCGCTTAAAGTACATATATATCCCAACGCTTTCCTATATGATTCAATGCTTACCCCAAACCTTGTAGCAAACAATTATATATTCTGCGGTATAGATATTGCAGATTTTCGAGGAGTATCATCAGTAATCGATAGAAAGTTTGATGACCGTTGTCGCATCGTCTTTGTTAATTTTTTGACGCAGTTTTAAGTGAAACGTTAGGAACAAGTAATTCCAGACCCCAGCATAAATTCTGAAACCAACGTACCATTACTGTGATACAAAAGATATAATGCACAAGGATAAAGAACTATGAGTTGGTTGTGGTTGGTGTCAAAATGTGACACCAGCCCTTCACAAATTAGCTTTTATTGACAAAAGAATCTTGATATTCGACAAAATTAGAGCCACCTTATTTCCTGGTAAATATACAAACCTAACTATATTAAATATAGAATTTTGTAGCTGATTCAAAAAACCTTACCTCTCCCAGATATGGCGTTAATCCAACGTCAAATTCATCAAGAGATTCCTGTTCTTCGGGTAGTAGATCTATATCATCATCTTCTATTTCATCAAACATGTAATAATCACCCGACCTTATAGCTGTGAAATAATAATTATTTAGTAAGTATTGTATCATAACAATAGGAGATAAAAAAAAGCAAATTGTGCAAAGCGTGCAAAATGCAAACGATTAACAATTTAGTCAATAGTTTTACCAAATTACTATTTTATTAGTCCTTTATAAATAATTTAACAAAATGATGTAGACCGTCGGGAATTGAATTTGTAAATATAATATTTTATAACGGATTGAGTACCTATATTTTACATCGTACATAGAGCATACTTTCTACAAAATATTTATAGCAAATAGGGCAACTGATACGACAACATGCATTCCGTCGATATACGAAGAGTTAGTAAATTGCCGATATTTCTAGAGCTACGCATTTGATTAAGTCAGACGGCAATGTCTGATACATGCTTAACTTGCATTAAATTTGATTTTAGATATTTACAAAATTCAACCCTGACCCTTACCAGAAAAGTAATAAATAAAATTAAAGTAACACAGAGGGTAATAGAGAGGTCAATAATAGGTCAATAAAGTAATAAATAAAATTAAAGTAACACAGAGGGTAATAGAGCGGTCAATGTTAAAGATATCCCTTAGAAAGAGTTTCAAATAAAATAGTTAGAAGAAAAAATGGTATTTTTTACCATTTGGTACCTGCCCAGAGTCAGAGATGTAAGAGACATCAACCGCATCCAGTGTGCTGGAGTTTCAAATAAAATAGTTAGAAGAAAAAATGGTATTTTTTACCATTTGGTACCTGCCCAGAGTCAGAGATGTAAGATAACTAAGAAAATTTTGAGAATGGAGACTTAGACACAATGCTTATCGTAATCGAGGACGTCCTCAAACAAGATGGTCGGACGACATCAACCGCATCCAGTGTGCTGGATTTAAAGTGCTCAAGACTGGAAGCAATATAATTATTTACGAGAGGCCTTAGTTCATCAGTGGGCTCAAAAAATATTTATGGCTTTTAGGTAGAAGAATATTTGGTAAATTTGTAAGAATACATAAACTCACGTGGGAAATACATTTGGAATACGTTGTAATTACATTAAAATAAATTTCAGTAATAATACTTTAAAAGGTGTTACAGATATTAATACTATGCTCGATAACTTGGTGGAAAATGATAATTTTCAAAATCAAAAGAAAGATGCTATCAAGTATAGACGTTTTTTTTTTTTGTTTTTGTTGTACTCTTAAATTTTGTTTTTAAGTAGAATTTCAGAGTAGGATGCTGTAATGTATTGGCATTTAAGGATAAACCCCGCTTACAGCTCATGTATACTAACTGATATCGTTGCTCACCCATCGTTTATCAATAAATAAAAGTTTATTTAAAATAAAGTTAATTTAAATTTCGAGTGTATTTTTGTCCCAAACATTTCAATTTTATTGTAAGACTATTGACTAAATTAAATTTAAAATGTCTAAAATTGTGAGATCATTATTCTGAAGCGTATATACCCCAGCAGTTGGGTTTTATAGTTTCATATTTTAGATAGAAAATAAATTATTGTACCAAAATTGTAATACATTAAAAATAATGTAAGTTGAGAAATATCGATCATAATTTGTATGCAGTTTTACATAGGTAACGTAGAAAAACAGCATGTCAAAATGCAATTTAATTCTCAAATACCACCTATTCAGTAGCAGATGATACCAAAAAGAATTTTATGAAACTGTAAACTCTTATTTTATACATCATGCACTATAAAATCTTACATGTATATACAAATTTACTATTAACAAAAGCACCCAAAAAGGAAACACTACATATGATATACAATTCCAGAGGAGTAAACATTCAAAATTGCATATGGCTCTAATATATGCACGCAACCTATTTCTTGGATTTATGAACATAACAGCTCTACACAACTTGTATAATAAATATATTTCAATTATAACTTATAGATTCTCTTGGAATCACTTCCACCATATTAAAACAACACAAAAACTATGCAAACGGCGGTAACTTGAGGGAAATTCGCGTTCAACAATAAATCAAACCCTAAAAACACAACGCTGTTTTTTATTTCTACAGAATATCACAAACTTGACATATTTTGCTGAGCAACAGCTTTCTTAGAAGAAAAATTTTAACCTGAGGAATCTATGGAAAAACGAAACATGTTAAGTTGATGATATTCTGTGGAAATTAAAAAACAGTTCTGTGATTTTATATTTGATTATAAAAGTACAAAAAAGTAAAACGTCTAAAGTAGCCTAAAGAGGAATTATTTTGAAACATATAGAATGGATAACAAATTCCTAAAATGGTCATTTATTCTACAAATAAGTGTCAAATATCGTTTTATATCGTATTTTGGAAGATCTTTAGATATAATACCTAAGAAAAAGCATATATAACATCCGTAATGTATCCTAATCGCCAACTATGAAGAACTAATGCTGTGTCGCTTTTGTATTTCCAAATATTGCAGAGAAGTAGTGATATTATTAAAGAAGAGCCCAATTCATCTTTGATTGTTTATCTCACGTAACCTAATAATGTTCTGTTTACCAACATACAGAATTATATGCTGAATATCTGGTATAATCAACAGTATTTGACTTCCTTGAATAATTCTTGTTACAGTAGAAGTCGTAGTAGTAGAAACAATTCTGTAAATCCTGATACGTTCCTAATGTTGAGTGCAATAATGGCTATTCTTATTTTATTGAAAGCGGTGCGGAGAAGTTTTGTAGTATTTGTCTGAAACCATGTGCTCAGGTTTTTTAACCAGATTATTCTCCTTCTTTCATGACACCTCCTGCTAAATATTTTTCCGTTTAAATATAGTTTTAAAACTTCATATCTATTCGAGCATACTTCGCGTTTGAACTGTTAGAACTGAAAGGTTCCATGTTTTTAGGTAGTCTTTTTTAATACTTCTTCGTTGGACATATGGTCCTTCCAGGGAATCCTGAGTATCCTTAGGTATAGACACATTTCAAAAGTCTTCATTATTTATTCATATATCATATATTATTTTGTTGAAGCCTCTCTATCATCCGCTAGCTGACGTTATTCAAATGCTCCCACTTTATACATATACATTCAGAATCATCTAGTGCTTAGTTAAATATTTCTGAGCACAAATAAACTAACACAAGGAACAATACACCTCCCTGTCTAATCCCTTTACCTATTTTGGTCTCATCTGTTTACTCTCCATCTAAGCTTACGCTTGCTTTCTTAGCAAAGTACAGTTCTGATATAATGTGTAATTGATATAGTAATAATCTTTTAGATAATTTATCTTCTATGTCAGTCTTTTGAAAGGTTTCTATTAACGTGTTATTTTGTACACAGCGGAAGGGTTTATGATAATGTATGCAAAAATGTAAATACCGACTATTACATATCTGCATCTGAAAAAAAGTTTAACAAAAAAAAACGGCTTCTCTCGTTCCCGATGTGTCTCTCAATCCAAATGATATTCTTCCCACTTGTTTTCACATTTCTTGTAAATTCGGAGGTGTATTATCTTTATCAGATTTATAGTGCGATAGTGAATCTCCTGTTTTGCATTAGTTTTTTAGTAATGCTATAAACGTTGATTTAAGCTAAGTATAACGCATGACATTTACTTCACAAAAACAATTAAACTACTCTTGTTAACTATTTAACTCCTTCGTCGTTGAATAATTTAAAAATTCTCAGTGGAAATTTCGTGAGGCCTTGGTGCTTTTCCGTCTTTCTTTATATATATTGAACAGTACTAGCGGGGTACAAGAGCATCATCTACATTTAACACTACAGTTTTCAAATGCACTATTAAATGTCACTTTAATCTCACAGGAGTAAAACTATCTAATGGGAGTCAATGTTTTATATTTTCTGGATTTGTCCCTTTTACTTAATGAGTTTTTTTACAAAACTCTTTATAGGGATATATCACCATTTATAAAGTTTTGCTCAGATAAATTTTTTTTATATCAACTTAACTACTTCTTCACTAACACTAAGTATAGTCCTTCTTCTACAAAGAACAAATGTGTATGTATTTGAAACATAATTTTCTACTCAAGCTATTTATTCCATATAGAAAAAGTTGCTCGAAAAAGCAGAAGTATTAAAATACCTAAAATATTCGATAAGATATCGAAAAATCCCGAAATGTCTGCACGCCAGAAAATATATATAAACAGAGGTTGTTGAAAATTTGAATTAAAGTTGTAATACAAATTTATATTTTTCATTGTGTTAAAGTATGTATTGTAAACAAGTGGGTGTTTAAATAAATTGATTTTAGAGCAGTGTAACAATAACAATAAAAATTTGAAACAAGTTTTCAAGTATATAAAATAATCAAATCAAAAACTAAATCTGTCATAGTAACTTCGCTAAGTAATGTAAATAAACTACGTAACTTTAGTTATTCATTTTAATAAACCATTACCAAAATCAAAGCCATGTGCAAAAAGCAAAACATGTATTAGAGTCGATCAACCACAAAAACTTAAAAAAATATATGTTAACTTGCAAAAATTTTGGATAATAAAAGCAAACGCAAACGTTAATACATTTTTTTTTAAATTAAAATAAATTTGTTAGTTAAGTGCTAGATGAATAATGAAAAGTGCACAAAGCAACATTATTAAGAATAAGTACCATACAACAGACAATATTTTTTACACAACTTTACATCAATTAAGTTAAATATATACACAGAGTAACACAGTGTTCCAATTAATTCTCAGTTTTTTTAACTGAACTTTTTTTAAGTCCTGGACTTACATATATATATATATATATATATATATATATATATATTATATATATATATATATTACATAAAACAAGCCAAATATTATGGCATTGGGGCACAAATTAGTCAAACTTTTCACGCCTGAATCGGAATCAATGGAATGATATAACTGTTATTTCAACATCTCGTCAGCCGTTCGAGCTGATTCAAAATCAAACACAAAAGTCCAACTAATGTCTCCAAAATCTTCCCTTTTTTTTAGTGGTTTACGTACAGAGGTGCCATCTACGTAATACTAATCTATACTAGTGTATGTTGTAAAAGATAAAGAGTAATATATCTAGATATATATAAAGAATATATGTATAAAAACGTAACAGAACCATTCAAATAATTTCAGAAGTAACGTGTCTGGCGAGCGATAATCTTATATAAAAATTATAGTAAACAAATCTTAAAGAACACTATGACTGCCGATGGGCTATCAGGAGTTACAGAAAAGAAGTGTGGTCTTGAATTATCGCTGGGATATCACACTATTTAAAGAACCTTGCAATAATGGGAATGAAAATTATTCTCCATTTAAAGTCGAATGCGCAAAAATTACTGCAAAGAGATATATTACCTGATGTACTTTTATATAATATCCTTTTAGTACCCATTACTTCAGTAATACAACAGAATCAAAGAAACTGCAAAAAAATATCCTGCTGAGTTGGAATATCAAGACGTTTAACTTTATTTTATTTATAATTAAAGACAAAGTAAAATACGTATTGACGGTTAAAGAACATAATTAGAGGTAAATGCTAAAGGATGTATTAGTAGGTTTTGTTATTGTATTATTCCCTTAATTTGAAAGTTATTAGTTAGTATACTAAGTTAAAAAATTTTAAACATCGATAGTATTCAAATTTCTGTAAACCATTGTTTAATGATTATTATAAATAGAAGGAAATTAAACTATGTACAAATATAAAAAACAACAATTACTAAGCAATCAATATGTCTTTTGATGTTAAAAGCATTTCTCATGTCCAAGCATTAGTGTTGAATCATATTAAAAAATTAAACTCAATTACAATAAAACTAATCGGAGGGAGGGCAATAAAATTAAGACATCAATTTGGACGCAATTAAGACGCCAACTTAGATACATCTCCAAAATTGCTCAATCAATCGTTGGAAAATATCTTCAATCAGTCTCCAGGAGGATTACAGTAATAACAAAGGCAATATTCAATATGGCAATAATTTATTTGCGGTATGACGACAATGTAATTCTGATCGCAGTTACAATAACATCTAAAATTACTACAAAAGTACGATGTGCTATGGGTAAATCATAAGTAGACCCAATTATAATTCGAAAAAAACACAATACAAAAAGTTCAGCTTTCTCGTCAAACGTACAAAATTTCCTCATCGAGCCTTCGAAAAAGGCATTCGTGATAGCTTGTTAATGGTTTCTTGTTTGTAGATTGAGTTTAAAATCTCATGAAACTGACGCACTCATGGTGACGACAATCTACGAACGAAAGGATGAAATCAGACATTGCTGAAAGCATTTAATTCTCTTTATAGTGCGTTTTCATGACAAGACAGAGTTGAACTAGTTTGTGCATTCGAAAATAGTTGGAATATTTATTATTTTTCTTTTAGCAGTCTCCATAGTTCATTCACAAAACTTCACATTATTATGTTTAACACAAGTTGGACACTCCTCTCTCACTTCCCATTAAACTTAATTCCATACATAACTTTGACGACTTCAAGTCTGGGATTTAGCAGGCCACTTTATACTCTTGGTTCAAGCACTCCTTTCTACCCTATGTGTTTTAAACAACTTTTACAAAGTTTTTAACTCTGCTTTGGATCATTATCTCGCTGCATTAGGAACGAGTTTTTAATTAATCGCAAGATATATATTCCAATGTTCGTATGATTACCAGAAAAGTAATCAATCAATCAAAGCAGAGGGAGTAATCTGAACGAAATGGCCATAGTTTGCCAAATATTCCATAGAAAGGTCCTAGAGAGATGTGCGTTTATGGGTGTATGCGCGCGCCGAAACACTTTCTAGCTGGATAGAAATACATGTTTGGATACAAATACAAGTCGAGGAATATGTTGTTGTACTTAGTTTTATTACCAAATTGATGTATGTAACCCAGTACCGGATGATAAACCGAAATATGAACTATGACATACTCTGAAGTATTATCTAGAGTAAATGGAGTATCTGGATTTCATCCTCAATGAAATAAAACATACCGAATAGGTAATGATTTTTGATCATATGGTAGCCTGATAAAGGCCTAAAGTACCTTTCCAAGTATACATTTACCCACGAGAAGGATGAGGTAGAGAAAACACTCAATTTTTGCAATATTGTACTGTGGAAGAAACTTTGAAAACATGGGGGTTTCAAACTGAAGAGAGCTTATAGGGCTCTTAGAAACTCTAAGATAGACTCTAGGCTAGTGTGGGAATACCGAGAGAAACTCGACAGACTGGTGAAACATAACTATTACCTGGTATGGGTTCCAGGATACCGAGAATATACGACAATGAAAAAGATTAGGCCCTTACCAGAAATGCATTAACTATAAAAATCTTCCATCAAGAGCTAGCTGTGGGAGTGCCAAAAAGAATTGTTCCCGACCGAAAATAAGGTTGCATCCGAACACAATATAACTCACTGGGATAATATACCACGTCAAGCATATGACAAAATGTATATTGAACGAACATGAAGTACTATTAAAAACAAGGAGAAATCATCTTAGTAATGCCAATGTTCCGTACTGGATATGAGCAAGTCAAGGGACACCTGTTTACAATGGGACTGTTCTATGGATATTAAGGCTGCAGACTCTGTAGCAGAGGTTCTAGACAGTTAGACATATCTTACATAACTTGGAAGTAGGCGAAAAATACTTTTCGTAGACTTCCAAGGGACTCCAAAAACATATGGTGCCCATCCTCTAGACCAGTACAAGCCGGATTGGTTATCGTGAATAAATAAAAGATGTACACTAAGCCAACCAGCCGAAGTATGTTTAACCAATACATACTCTCCATTTTCGTTCCTGAAAAGTAAAAATTGATAAAACCGCCAAGGCATAAAGAGCAATACAAATACAAATATTAAGTAATATAAACCACGAATGTACTATAGAATAAATCATCTAACCAAAGTATAATACATTGGTGTTCACGATCACGGAATACAAGGGAGGAGAAGGAAGACATCATATACAACAGACGAATTTACGAAACATGCTGGAAAATACAACAGGATTAGAATAATACTGGTGGAAAAAACAGTAAGGGGCGTCTATTTAAAAATAGAATAAATGGAGTGAATATATCGATACAAAGCTTAGAAAGTAGCGCAATGATAAATATCATTAACTTCTTTTCTGAACGTATTATTACCCAAAACTATGTATATTTTGTATATTTACAGAAATTTGTGAAATTGTATATTAAAATCAATTAAAACATGCACAAAAACCCACAAGTGAAACAAAAATTTCCTGTCAATATTAAAAAAATGTATATTAATGCAATATTTATTTAAAATAAGAACACTGTGAGTTTTTCCTGCTCCAACTTGTAGAAAAATGGGGCCATGTATGGGTTATAAAGGTTAATAAAACCGACTTTATTCTCCTATAAATTGTTCGATAGTAGTTGTCGGTACTTATTAAAAGTAATCCTACATTATACAAATATGTATATATCCGTGCATCTAATATTATAACTACGTAATAGTACTAACCCAAGCAGATTACCATGCATTTACATCTTTACAAATTTTGTACATAAATTATAGTATAAAAAATTACCCTGTTTATACGTCACTGGAGTTTTGATAGTATAATGTGATCTACCGGCAGAGATTGAATCTGTACAAAACAAAAAAATAAAAGGAACTAAATTAGCACTAATAGAAAAGCGTGTGCATTTTTTAACATTGTTGTAGTAAGCTTACACTAAATATTAAATTGTTCATACAGATTATATCAAAATGTCATTCGTAAATAATGACAGAAAGCTGGTACCTGAGAAAAATTATAATCAAAAATCATTTGAGAACCATATGAGGTCATCAATTGTGTGAGAAAACTGACGTTATACAAGCAAAATAATAAAATAGGATTTAACATTTAGTATTAAGGAATGAGATATTCTATTTAACTGATAAATTACTAGAATTTAAATTAGTAGCATAAAATATTACGTCGCTCTAATTTTTCAAATATATCTTTTGATATTAACTTTAAATCGCCGTCTTTGCTAAAAAAATGTATTGAGAAATTAAAACATAATCGTCAATCAGGGTCAAGGTATAGGTCAAATATACGTATACATTTGAATTCATTTACTTGCCAAATCCACAATAGGGAAATTCTTTTAGAAAAACTTGAACTTTTTTAAAATGGATTCAGTTAAAATGTCACTAGTGTTATCTTCCTTCAATTTTTGATCAGAGTATCATTTGAAATATTAAAACGCTTTTTATAATACTTTTTAATTTTATATTAGGTGGTACAAAAATCTTCTCGATTAAAAGATAGGCCGTACCAAAGTAGCATTGGCTTGAAAAGTTACCAAGAATCTAAGAAAAGACACAAACGATAAAGTAAATATTCAAATAATAAATTTCCAAGATTGGAAAACTATGCACGCACTATGCAGGGTTGATGATGTAAAAGAGGACATGTAAGGGCCTCCAAAATATCAATAATGCCACATCAAGTACAGAATAGCAAACACTATTGACGGCGTTCCCCGAAAAAGTCTACTAGTAGACGGGTAATGATAGTTCAAACCTGAGACCGAAAATCTCAGGTATGAAACTAATTGTGGGCATACCACACCATAGCTTCATCAATGAACGTAAACGGTAGAGAGATTATAACCATTGTGATTAAAAAATGCACCATAACCTCGGTATATAAACCTCCAATCCAGCCCTTTATATTTTCATACCTACATAACTTCACACCTGGAAATAATAAATAGAGATTTATAGCCACACAGAACATTGAAATGTACACATAGATGAAAACTCAAATGTTCCAAAATAATATTTTACAAACCGATGGGTGCGTTCAGACGATCTCAGAGACTGGACGGCTGACTAGGCGGTAGTGTTCAGACGCCTCCAGCTCAACCTGGAAGTCAGACGCTTCCAGCTTAAATCGCTGGAAGTCAGCCGCTGTTGAATTTACTAAGCGTACTTTTTCCGCTGGATGAACTCAGCGGTTGATTGGGCATGCGTGGTACACAATAATGAGTTTTAATTTTATATGAGTTTTTATTTAAAAATTTCGATCGATTTAAAAGATTGATTTAGAATGGAATAATCAAAGTAAAGTTTGGTACTGAACGAGAATATATATTTATAGAAGGATTTATGTAAATATTGAGGTTAGATTTGATCTGAAAAAAGCTATTCAACTATTGGCAAAATAGGAAAACATGGAGATTGTAGTGAGGGATGCGACAGTAGCTGTAAAATACCGTCATATAAATTTTGAGATATAAATCGTATTTTTTATTTTTCTGTATAACGCCTCACATTTTACAAATTTATTGCTCAGATAGCACATTCAAAATGATATAAGATTATGATTTCTTAGTTTTAGTATCAAACATTAATGTATTTAGCGATAACTTTTTGGGATACACTGTATGATACATTAGTATGGAAAGTAAGGAATAGTCGTAAGGAAAATAATATAGATTAACAAAGGGACAAAACAAAGGGAGAAGATAAATATCAAAAATCAAAATATCTTGACTCGTTTGGATGACTCATTTCTGCTGAGCTATGATTTATACTTTTTAAACATTGTTTTTATTTGATACAACCGTCAATTAACCATTCTTAAGAGATAGAGAGTGATTTGTACAAGATAGTGCAGTAGTAAAAGAAAAAGAACGAATAACCCGTAGGTATATAAAAAGGTATATAAAAACCTTCTTTACACGAACAATATACAGGATGCTGGGGCCTTTAAACATGAGCAAAAATAAATTGACATGAAATAAAAATAACTAGAAAAATGAATATTTACAAAAAATTGAGATTAGTATCTTAATTAATGTAGAGTTGTCTATATAATAAGATTGCTAAAAAATACATTTGAATATTCCTCTAGCATATTCAAACAATACATACTAGTTATGTATTCAAAATTTATATACAAAAGCAATTAAAGCAGCAATTGAATATTAATAAACTATTTCGATAGTAGTTCGTAACTTCGATAATTTCCAGTAAAGACTTGAAACAGTTATGACGAAATTCTCAGAAAAATGAGTTAATCTAATAAATTTTGTTTTTCTGTTTTTTTTTCTCTTTTCTGTTATTACATAATTTTAATTTATAAATTATTATTTGTTAAGAAAACAACAGGACCTTCTTTGAATCAATATTGTTACAGGGTGTTCTATTTAAAATTACTGAAAAAATAAAGTACCCGCGCTTTGACTCGCCCTTTATTCGATATAAAGAAAGAAAGCAGCAGCAATACTTTTTTTTACTTTTGACAATCAATAAAAAATTTGGCAGCAATAGATTATTGTTATTGTGCTTCTTTTTTTAATTATACAGGGAGTTGAACTTGTTACGATTTTCATAGAAAATTAGTTATAACTTTATAGAAAATTAGTTACTTCATAGAAAATTAGTTATAAATACCCTGTATAACATAATAAAACTTTATACTGTCGTGATAGGGAAGTGAAGAATATTTCAAATATAAAATAAAATACAGTATGTTTTATTTAAACAAACATAAATTTGGTCTGCCACTATGTTATCGAGCACCCTGTAACATTCTAAGTAATTTTTTAATGTGAACCTCTAAGCTGCCTACAATTTTTGTTATTAAATTTTATTGCTATCTATTATTATAGCGGATCTACTGAGCTTTATCACACTAACCAATCACACAAGTCTTTATTAATATGTGCACAAATCAAAGAAACTTCTAATTTTGAGTTTATCTTTTGGTACTGGCCATTCTTGAATTGCTTCTTAAGAAATTGTTGGAACACTTCACTCAGATTCTTGGAATTTTCGTCGAATGATTTTCCAACCTCAACAAAGTTAAAAAAAGTGTTATTATCATCCAGTAGTTTTAGTCTATTTCCATTTCGTTTGGGCTACAACTTTTGTGTCCAGGATTAAAGGTCCTTCCATTTCCCATTTGTTCGGCATCTATTGCAATTCCGGTCTGTTATCCGCCAATGATTTTTTTTTATAAATTCCTCGTATATGCATAGTGTACATAAATATATGCTACCTTATAAAAATGTTAAAAGGTTTAGTCTGTTTTGCGTTTCCAATATTTTTCTCATCGTTTTTTATGATTTAATTGTTGTCTCTAATGTGTAGCTCATCGATTCAATTATTAATTAAAATATTCTAGCAAGTATTGTTCTTTGATATGAAATATCAATTAAAGCCTCTGTATGTATGTGTGATAGCATCGAAAACGGAGTATAATTTAGAGTAAGAGTAAGAGAATTTAAATACCTTGACTCATACATAACGGAAAATGGGACTCTAGATCGATAAATTGCCCACAGTGTTCGGTGGTGAAGTGTGGGCTGTAAAGAGAATTCACGAAAAGAAGATGAGGGTAGCTGAAATGAAAATATTACGTTGGGTGTTGGGTAACACTAGAAGGGACAGGATCAGGAACGATTTGATTAGGGAAAGAGCCGGGGGTGACCACAGTCTGCATGAACAAAGACTGCAAAAGTTTTGTCATGCCAAACGTAGAAATGAAAACTATATTGGACGAAGGATAACGCTGTTAGAAGTTGTTGGAAAGAGAGGTAGACGAAAACCGAGAAGATGGAAAGACTGTGTTGCAGAGGACTTGAGCGAGAAAGGTTTAAGTGAAGAAAACGGGATGAACCCAAATGGGTGGCAAAGAAGAGTAGGAAATAGCGACCCATGAAGAGGGAAAAGCTAAGGAAAAAGAAAAAGATGAGGTGAGATCGACACGTATACCATGAAGAAACACGGCATGACCCTCTACTATGCTGGCAATGCCACCGTTACTAATTCATTATATGTCCATGGCGCCAAACTATTCAACAACAGCATACTTAACGCATCAGCTGCTTGTATGTAAAATACCTTTCGGGGTACTTATTGTTAACACATTAGTAAAAATTTTATACTATAAACATCTATTTGTTTTGCTTTTATAATATGTATAATTATGTTATAAGATATTTATTGTAGTAACGGAACTCTATTTTTTGTTTATTTTAATCAATATTTATTTACTATTTTAATTGAAATTAGTGTTTATATGTACTTTAAGGTACCTATTATTAATTAGAATATATGTATATAGCAAATTTTAGCATTCTCATTATAAAAAAAATCTACACAACAGAGATACACAAGGCGTCTAATTTCCACAGAATATCTAAAATATAGCATATATACTGCTTTATAGAAAGATTTACTAAAAATTACATTCGTGATGGCTCAAAGGTGATCTAGAGGAATAACTGATGATGCTCTGCCTGGGCGTGATGAAACTCCCATGCAGCCAAGGTGGTCCTATGGCGTAAGTGCTCCTTCGCCTTTCGCTACGATCTTCCCCTTCCGTCGTCACTCTGCGGGTTGCAATTTCAGTGACGACAGTCGGAGCTTCAGTGTAAGGCGGAGGGGAGAACACGGGGAAGCTGTCATCAGGCGAAGAAATGCGTGGTTGCATTTCAGAATTTGGAGGGGACGAGAAAGAAATTCTTTGGGGATCTAAATAGCCGTCAAGAGATACTGTCATGACTGCAGAATAAGGAGAGGGAGGTGCTTGTGGATTTACGAGAGAACTCCGCGGTGTTAAGGGAGCAACCTCATCATCATCGATCGGAGTATGATAGCCTGATTGTTGAGTCATCGTCGAACTACACGAAGTTGCCGAAGATGATTTTGCTAATGGAGCAGTTGCAGCCACTAGGAAATAAATTTTATTTTGTAAATTTTTAGCATTTGTATGAAGGCTTTGCAAAACAATAAAGTGACCAGTTGTTAAGTTACTTCTTAAATTCTCGTTGTGTCATTCGCAAAAACTGTATATATTCATAAAAATATTTCAAATTTTTAACTACTGTATAAAATAATAAATAAATTATTCTACAAGCTGTCTTCTCAATTTATTGCATTCTTGGTAACAACATTATAGAGCTACGAAGTACATTTTGAAAAAGTTGAAGATAGAAAGGACTCTTGGTAAGATCTTTGTTGATTTAAAAGTAATTTGCTGATACTTCTTCCGTCCTATTGCAGTTTAAGTTATATTTATTACATAGTTATACTCTCTCAAACATAGTATGTACTGGAGATGTACTGTGCTGATTCAATTTACTCATAATTATTATAAACTATTTTCATAACTGCATTTTATAATCATTAATGACCAATAATAATATTAGCTAAGCATTGTTTTGCAAAAGACTTCAACAAACCTAAACTATTATTTCGACAAACTTGGGTTAAATGTATTAAAATTTTAAACACTGACAACAGAGTTTTTTCTATTCACCACAACTATTCTACTATGAATGAAATGAAATTTCTTAAACTGAAACTAGTTTAAGAACTTTTTATCTTACCCACAACCTATAGAAGTTATATGAGTTAAAAATTTTTTTTGCTGTCTGAAAGGAAATTTGTTTATATTGACAACAAAAGCTGTTGTTAATGTAACATCAAGTACAGATGGAATAATCACTGAAAACCAAATAACACTAATTATTTAATTATTTAATTACATTTAATTTAATTATTTAAATATTAACATAACAAACATCTAGTATTTCTAGTAGTAGAAGTATTTCTTCGATAAAAAAGTACAAAAGTATATTTTAGTACAGTAATAAAAATATTTATTAAGAAAAGAAAATTTTATATTTATTATAATATAATCCTTATATAAATAAGAGTGCAAGAGGTAAATAAAACAAAATTCAAAAGCAAATTTAATTATTGAAAAAAAAATTATTTATTGTTATATTCAGATATACTGACTGTATTAAAGGCTTTTAATAATATTTTTTATGATTAAATGATAAAACAATTTTTAATGCTTTACAACAAAATAAGTACGATCTCTTGGAAGTTACTCATCTAAAGTAAATAATATAAATCGTTGCTTCGGGAAAACAAGAAATTTAGTTAAAATTTGATTAACTGTACTTATTTTTTTCATTCCGACGAAATTATTTAACTAGAAATACTCTGACTCTATATCAATACCGTGATTAGTCCACCATTCACTTACCTATATAATGATTGTCAGAAACTAAGCTATCACCTTGAATTTTTTGTTGATTCGCCTTAATCCGTTCCATTTTCTCCTTAATTTTCTCAAGAACTCTTTTTTCTATTTCTTCTTGTTCTTTCATCGTTTTTTGCCTCATTTCTTCCATAAGCTCAGCACCTTTAAAGAAATATATATGAATTAAAAATATCTATTCTAATGATTACACAGATCTGTATTCAATAAACAATCGGATTAGTTTGAATGGCTAGAGTTTCAATCAAAAAAGGTAGAAATATTACTAGAACAAATTCCAAGGCTAGAGTTGTCGCAGGTGACTTTATCGCCCACATAGCGTAGGACAGTGTTCCTAAAATGTGGTCCTCGGACGCCTGGTCGGGTTAGAGAGTCGGTAGTCTTAAATATGAACATTTGAATTAATAAATAAATGCAAGTCTCGTAATCGTTACACTCAGCGTGTGTAATCCGACCGAGACTGACCGAGAGACGACGACCGAGATGACCGATTAAATTGAGTAAAACAAGTGCTCGCGGCGAACCTATCCCCCTACCACACCGCTTACGACTCTGCACCGCACTTGCCCACGACTTACACTTCTTCTCCTTTTTATGTAGACATTACTCTGTGTGTTTTTAATGTGCCTCTAGTAAGTTGTCATTCCATCGTTTTCGTGGTCTTCCTACTGATGGTCTTCTATTAGGGAACAGTCTCTTGCCGTCTTTACTACTCTATTTGTTGTCGTTCCATTCTACTCTTCTATTTCTTACCGTCCTTATGTTCTCCACCTTGCAATCTACGTCGTATATCTGTACTTCTAGAGTGTGTTTTCATCTCTGCTTTTCATCTTTTTTGTCCTCCCTGCGTCAGGTCGTATTTCTGCTGCGTAAGTCATTGTTGGCCTGATGACTGTTTTGTAAATTCTGCCTTTCATTTCTTTCCCAATATGTTTATTTCACCAATCATTTCATTCAGGCAACCTGAGACTCTCTTAGCTCTATTCACTTGATCTTCCACTTCTGTTCGAGCTTTCCGTACCTAGATAATATGATGCTTAGATATTTAAACTTCATCACTTGTTCAATTATCTGACCTGCCAGCTCCAATTTACATCTTAGTAAATTTGCTGTTATAGTCATGCATTTTGTCTTTTTTGAAGAAATTAACATGTTAAATTTTCTGGCAGTTATATTGAATTGGTGCAGCATATGTTGTAAATCATCTTCAATTTGAGAGAGTAGTACTGCGTCGTCTGCAT